ACGGAGTATGTGATTGTATTGGCTAATGAATGAAATATGACATTTACAGGGGCAAAAGGAACAATAGAAGGAGAGACAGATTTTCCTATGGTGTTGGTAAAATAATTGATAATGGATCATTTGAGATGAGATCACATGGAGCAGATTTAGGGGTTCAATAATCATTGTGAGATTAGTTATGAGGAATTAGATTGATACAAACGATTATTGATGAGTTAGGACTGGGGATATCTGTATCATGTTTTGTGTGTGCTTACCATCTTTAGATTACTGATGGTAATTGAAGGTTGACAAAATGTATAACCAGGAGAAAGAGATTAGCTTATCTCATTGGAATGTTGCCCAGGGGTAGGGGGAGGAGTAGTGAAGTTAGGCAGTATTTAGGTCATAAAAGTGAGCTACCAAATTAAGTGGGGCCTGGCTATCTTTGATTGTTGTTTTTCAATTGGATTTAAATAAAAAACAACACACCCAGTATGATGTTTATAAAGGGTTGTTATGTTGAATTTAGGGGATTTTCAACAGTTCATAGGTGGTGTTTACTATGCTGTGGGATGGAACGGTTTGTTGGGTGATATTTTAAATTAAAATTAATGCAATGAGCTGCAGTAATCAGAGGAATGTACAATCTAAGGTGAAACAGCTATTGCCTAGATCATTGATTTAGCAATAGGATCAGGAAGATAGGGACTAGGAAAACATTTTTTTTTTATGAAGAATGATGAGCTTTTTGGTAATGATAGACTGCTGTAAAGCTTGGGTACTCCATTATGTACTGCATACTGGTAAATTAAGTGATCTTATCTATGGGAAGGCAATGGCAGCCCATGGTAAAATCATTTGGAACTCTAAGGAGGAAGAACAGTTTATGTTGTTGCTCTCTTCCCAAACAGTCTTAGCTTTTCATACATATATCAGGGATGTTACCAAAATGGTAGAGAGTAAAGAGGGATATGACATTGGTCGTGATTTAAAGATGGTGAGGTTTTTTTATTGGTGGGCTATTAGATATAACTGGGTTAATCACGAACATAGAGGTTTTTATTCTTTGTTGCTAGGCAGAAGACTTAGGTGACCTAGGGTCGAAGTGCTTGCTCTTACTTCAATCCATGGCTGTCTTTTGTCTCTCTTCAAACATTGTGAAGGGAGCGGCACCAGGATTAAGCAGAGTTCAGGCTAAAACCTGTCTCTCCTTTGCTATCTTCTCGATTGATTACAGCAAGAGGGGGGGTTGTGTTAGGTTTGAAATATTTAAATATGGACTTGTCATGTCCAACAATCAGTCTTCAGGTCAAGCCCGGGAGAGCCGGGGTAGAACAGAGTTTGAACTAAACATGAGTGTTTTTACAAGATAAGAGATTGATTGATTGGATTACCAATTGATTCTGAACTGAATGAAAGTCGAATTTAGCCGCCATAAAAGACAAAGGAAGTGGGAGGAGCAATAAAGAGGCAAAAGACAGTCTCAAAAATGAAAGGCGTGGCAATTGGTTGATAAATTACCTAAGTGATTGTTTAGGTAAGTGGTAATATTGACACATGAGCAGAACTGTGTCAAGAGGGGGGAAGAGGCTAATGGTAGGATTAAATAATATACGAAGGAGAGGACAAAATATTTAAAAATAAAGAAAGAAAGAAAACATTTTTTTAGATACAGTCTAGAAAGAGAATGCAGTCAGAAATTGTTAGATTAATCTGAACATGTGTGAAGATAGTTTATTAACCACACCCGTATGTCAGAGGTTTTGTGCCCCACAGGTGAACTAAAGGAGAAGGTGACCCACTCTATCTAACCAGGTGACTGGTGAGCATCCCTAAAGAAGGAAAACTGGAAGCAGGCCTGTTGGTAAGGGCCCTATCAGGTTATATTGGTCACTGCCTTGGCCATTAGAAGAGCAGAGAGAGTAACCTGGGTCCATGTTACACACTGCAAGAGGTAAGACCACATACAAGCACCACTGAAACACACACAGAGTTGGAGAGCAGAACTGAACCAATAAGGTCCGGGGATCACCTCTGTTAACGAAGATCTCCTACCCCGACCTATCATCACTGTAGTGTGTTCTTAGGGTGTGAGTATGGGGTGGTACCAAGCAGAAGGACTAAAGGCAGGAGAGGGTTGGCGGTTTTTGGGAATATGGGTGACCCTGAGCTGCATCATAGTCTCGGCAATAGTCTGGGGATGTCAAGATCCACCACCACCTCGCACCAATTACGCTAAGGCCTTACCATTATTAAGAAATAAAAGGGAAGCGACCCGACATACTGACCGTCAAGGACGAGTGATCTACAAAATAGGAGTCAGAGAAGGGTGGGGAGTAACATTCAAAATTAGGATTAGGGATCTTATCAGGACGGATAAGCAAGCAACGTGGGATCATAAGATCCCATTGAATTTATGTTCAGCTCCCTCTGCGGATTGTTCCTGGGCTCAGGTATTTAGAGATACTGGGGGACGGAGATATGAGACGGGGGGGGGGGGGGGGGGGGGGGGGGGGCTGGACGTCCAGATGGAGGATAAGAAGGTATAACGACATCCCCACGGAGATGGTAGTAACAATAGTAAAGGTCACTAAAGAGGACATGAAAAGAACTTACTGGACTTGCGCGGATGAATACGGACGGGATACTTGTCTAAGATTACATTTGATGGAGTCAAAAGATATGGAGGGCACAGGTACTGTCATTAATCCATTAATAGCAATAGACCGAGTAGATCAGTCAAGGGATGACGGAGTCAATTCGACTAACCCGTCCACTATGAAAGATTTTCTCCTCCAAGAATGGAACCAAGGGGAAGTGGAGGGGGTCCCTGATGAGAATCTCTGGTTAAAGTGGATGAAGTACACCGCTAGGGCCTTGGGGAGACCAATTGTTAGGTATGCTCCATTGGGCGACCGACAATGTTGACCGCCCCAATGCCAAAGGCAATGTTTCTCTGTGTATTAGACCTGGGGTCCAATCAAAAAGAGCCCAATTGCACAGGGATTGGGCTGGCAAAGTTGACATACTCGGCCAGCCCACCTAGATTCACTTTAACTCCTGGCGAATACCAGTGTTACAGACATAGAAATGGCACCCGTAACTTGGGTGATTTTGATGGCTGTAAGGAGATAATTAATGTGACTGATTTAGATAGGGGAGGGGGGGGAAATGATGAACAGCCCCTGTAACCGATGTGTGGTGGGCGTGTGCCAGTAAAGGCAGTATAAGGCAGAGAATACCAAAAGGGTGGCTGGATACGTGCGCCCTGGTTCTACTGATTCAGCTAGTTAGAACTAGTCACCAGGAACCAAGGAAAGGGTTAAACAGACATAGGAGGAGTTTTAACAAGAAGGAGAATAGCCCTATTTAGATGGATGCGATTGGGATACCAAGGGGGGGTATCGGATGGATAACAAGCTATGAAATAATTAGGGGAAGGGTTTACTACCACGTTCTTTTGGTGCGTGACAATAAACAAAATTGTGAAGTGGATTAATTATATCTATTACGACCAACAACGATTTATTGGCGGGACTAGGGATGCAGTAAAAGGGATTTCTGAAATTAACCGCCATCCCACTCATGACTTAGTAAAAGAGGTTGGCTCTAGATCAGGCAGAAAGGGCCAATGTCTATAGAATGATAAGCCATTGTTTCATATTTATCTCTAACAACACCACACTGGATGGGACAGTCACCAGAGCTCTTGCAGAATTAACTGCACTAAGTGAAGAATGAACTGAGAACTCAGAAGTTAGTACTTCGTGGATAGGGTGGTTTGATGAAATGTTTGGTAAAGGGAAAACCATAGCAGCCACCATCTTAGGGGTGGTCAGTGTTTGTATGGGTATTCTTGTATTATGTGGTTGTTGTCTTGTTCCCTGTGTACGAGGATTGGTGAGTAAGGCATTGGTGAAATGCAGTATCTCAACAATGATGAGAGATGACCGACTCCGGACTCTGACCAGGGGAATGTGAAAAACGATCCTCCAGGCTTGGTGGATGACGAGTATTTTGACCCTGAAAGACCGCCATTGGATGAAATGTTTATTAGTTCTGACGTAATCTCTGAGATTAATCATGCTTGTAAAATACATTTATCCTGAATGTGAAAACATTTAGTCAAAGGGGTGGATTGATAGATTAATTTGTATTTTAAGAATAATGACTAAAGGATTTCACCCCAAATACAGTATAAATGTGTGAGGTCTTAGAGTTATAATGTAGTGTGAACCCACTAACAGAGGGGGGAGTTAGAAACTGTTGAAAGCATTCCAGGGTGAAGGGGACTAAGAAACGGTTTATAGGTGTGCGGAGCAAAGTGCCTTTGTGTGGTGCCAGAGCTCTCCATGATTAAAAATACAGATTATTTTTGCTGGTTACGGACCTTTGTTAAATTCATGATTAAACCAGAGAATTTACACCCTCTGGGAATTATTCAGAGCATTAAGTTTGATTAATTAGAGATAGAAATTCTCGTGACAGTAACGAGCTGAGATTAGGAGCACACTCTTAAAGGGAGTGCTCCTAATCTCAGTTTGTTACCTGTATAAAAGACACCTGTCCACAGAAGCAATCAATCAATCAGATTCCAAACTCTCCACCATGGCCAAGACCAAAGAGCTCTCCAAGGATGTCAGGGACAAGATTGTAGACCTACACAAGGCTGGAATGGGCTACAAGACCATCGCCAAGCAGCTTGGTGAGAAGGTGACAACAGTTGGTGCGATTATTGGCAAATGGAAGAAACACAAAATAACTGTCAATCTCCCTCGGCCTGGGGCTCCATGCAAGATCTCACCTCGTGGAGTTGCAATAAATTTCACAAAGGTTTAGTGCTTACCAGCTATTAAGTGATGTCAGATATGTTTGTTTAGTAAATCTTCTTGGCAGTCATTCTCCATATGCTTAGAAATCGAAGGTTCTTCCAGGTCCGGTAAGGGCAAATTGACTGCTCATTGGCTGTGGCTAAGGCCTTGCCCCGCCTCTAATTTTCCTCTGAAGCGTAATGAGTATGCTTTCTGTTTCTATTGCTGTAAGAGGGTCTGTCTGGTGTTTCTTCCTTTTCAAACTTAAACAATAGCTATATATTTTGAAGATAATTTGATACAGCGTCTCACAGTTTCAAATGTATTTACTTGAACAGATGACTACCAAAGTGACAAATAAAAAAGCTTGTACAGGTGCACAGTTCTCACTGGGAGTGTGTTTGAATTAAACCGCAAAACAAGAATAATCACCAAGCAAGGCTGAATGTGCTGTGACAAGAACAACCTGTTGACTGGTGAGTCTTTATCTTTCCCTCTTTCATTATTGAACTCCTTAAACTACAGACTTAAACTAAGACTAAGGTTTGCTAAGCAAACATGGTTTCTTAGTTTCATATGTCTGCTTGTAAATAGGAAGGGAGAGGATCCTATTTGAGGGTCATGATGTCAGAGTGAGTGCAGTTCCGAAAGTAAAAGAATCAAAAACACATATTGTCTTTTACTGTATTGGTAAACCCTCATGTCAAGTCTAGTTGAATGTTTTTTTTTACAAAATAGCACAGGATAAGGTAGCACAAAGCAGAACAGCAAGTGTAGAGATGAAAGGTCACTTTAAAGTTTAAAGCATCTCACCCACCATTGTAAAAAGACCATAAACTTGTGTTCTACTGAGAACAAAACTTAACTATTAACTTAGACATAAAACTGAGGAGTTGGGTATGTAGTGAAAGAGTGAGCGTTGGGAACATTTCCTTATTGGAAGGAGGAGGTTTACATCCCAGTTAATGGGTTCATGAGTGGTTGTCTTTCATGTACAGGGTGAAAGCAAATGAATAAATAATAGAAAAGTGGCTATTTTCCCCCATTATGGACAAAAGCAGACTAGGTACATTTGAAGCTAGTCTGACTAAATTAGGAAGAAGATTTTCGGTTGGTTCACTTTTGCTGATGTGTAACAGGATGTGGTTTACAGTTCTGGGCTGACATATACTTTGTGCAGTTGTTGCATTTGCTATGTTCTCATACTTCCTGTTCACAAAACAGGTTGTTAATAAGTCAAACAAGATTGATATGACTTAAAATAATAAGTTCTCTCTTTTTTGCAGGACCAAAAATGCTGTCTGGATCGGTACGTGTCGTCCTGTTCTCGATTCTTGGTCTAGGAGGATTTCTGATGCTGTTTTTAATGTACTTTAAATCAGTTCCATCTCAGATCTGTCCTCCCCAGCCTGCTTTGCCAGGTCATTACTCAAAGCGACCTGAGAACAGCTCCTTGTCTAAGAAGCAGCCAAAGCCAGACAAGCCCATCATGCTGTTGTGGTTCTGGCCTGAAAACCGCAGGTTTGATTTTAGCGATTGTGCCACTTTCTTCAACATTGATGGCTGCCACCTGACCGATGACAGGTCTCTGTACAACAAGGCAGACGGTGTGCTCATCTTTCACAAATCCATCAAACACGATTTATCCAATTTGCCTCCATCACCTCGACCACCATTCCAGAAGTGGATCTGGTATCATGTGGAATCACCTACAAACACAATTAGGATACCTGGTCTAGATAACCTTTTCAACTTGACCTTGAGTTATAGGGAGGACGCAGACATCCCTGTTCGTTGGCATTTGACCGCAAGGAAAGGCCAGGGTGAAGACTTTGTGCTGCCCAAGAAGGATAAATTAGTTTGCTGGATTGTGAGTAACAATAACCCTGCAACTGGAACAGGGGTACGGTATAACTATTACAAAGAACTTGTCAAACATATTAAAGTGGATCTCTTTGGCAGGGCCTTTGCAAAACTATTGAGATATGAGGACTACTACTCAACACTCTCCAGCTGTAAGTTTTACCTCTCCTTTGAGAATTCAGTCCACAAAGACTACATCACTGAGAAGCTAAACGGACCACTTGCAGCAGGAACTGTGCCAGTAGTATTGGGCCCACCGAGACAGAACTATGAAGACTTTGTCCCAGGAGATTCCTTCATCCATATTAATGACTTTCCCAATGCAAAAGCCCTGGCTAAATTCCTCCTCAAGTTGGACAAGGATGATGAGGCATATCTGCGCTACTTTCAATGGCGTAGAAACTTCTCTGCTCAGCAACATCTGGTTCAACTGAGTCAAGAGTTCATCCAAGCTATTTGTTATGGATGTGACCATGTGGGCAAACATAAAGAATATAGGGTTGTTCACGATCTTTACAAGTGGTATTTTGTGTAATTAGTCACTTATGATTAGCTATTACCATCCTTCACATGCCTATTATCTTCAATATACCAAAAAGGAATCTTGATTTATCCCACAGCACTTAGGGAGCGCATACACCGCACCATATGTCGATCTGCTGTTCTGCTGGTTCGTTCGGCACTGTGTGTTTTAGTGACCACCCGCAGGTTGGCATCTGACTGCCAAAAAACATGTAGAATCAGTTTACACTGTTTGCAAATTATGTCTGGTGTAACCGGTGTGAAATGGCTAGCTAGTTAGTGTTGCGCACTAGTAGCGTTTCAATCGGTGACGTTACTCGCTCTGAGAACGTGAAGTAGTTGTTTCCCTTGCTCTGCAAGGGCCGCGACTTTTGTGGAGCGACGGGTAACGGTGCTTCGAGGGTGACTGTTGTCGATGTGTGCAGAGGGTCCCTGGTTCAAGCCCAGGTAGGGGCGAGGAGAGGGACGGAAGCAACACTGTTACGCTGGCACTCTGTTCAGAGGTGCTAAGTACTCTCAGCCAACAAACACTACCGATGTGTCCGTGCCTTTACACTCACACTTGTCTATGAAAACTCGATACTCGTAGACTGGCCTACTATATAAGGGCCTTCTCAGAGAAGGCCTGTAAGAAATGTTCTCTGGTTCTGTTCTGGAGGTGTTTCCCTGCTGCAACTTGTAATAAACCAGATTTGTTTTTGATTGATATTATAAACGACTGCTCTCCTTTTGTTTCACCTGGAAATTCTCTTTACCACTGTGTTATTGTATATGGTTGTCTCACCTAGCTACCTTAAGATGAATGCACCAACTGTAAGTTGCCCTGGATCAGAATGTCTGCCAAATTACTACAATTGTAATTTCTCAGGTTATGAATCCAATGTACAAAAGCCTTGAAAGCAGCACAACTTGTTTCTTTCTAACTTTTGTACAGTCTAAACATAAATGCAGGCTATTTATTGTGTGAAAATCAATAGTTTCTAAAAGCTGGTAGCTTTGCAACTTTAACAGAGTGGAGTTTCTATTATGCAGAATGAAATACTACATTTTAAAGTTTATGGCAGCAAGACCAAAATAAGTAACACGTGTATGGGAACATTGAATAATTCAATATCTATAACAAACATTTCTATGTGAATTTGGTCGGGTTACCCAAAAAGTTAAATATTACAGCTTTATTCTTTCGGCCACCCAGTGGGTGTGTTTTCAGGGATTTAATTAAATGTATTCAGTGCGTGCAAGCAGCCACACCCGCAGAGCTAGTTCTGCACCTGCATAAGGTAAACTGAGAAGTGCTTCCCACCTAGCATTTTTAAATTAAGTCATCTCTCTCTCTCTCTCTCTATATATATATATATATATAAAACACAGAATCTCAAACACCAAACATAATGTTCATAAATCTAAGTGTTGTGTAGTGTGATTTCTTCGTGACCTCCCTGTATGAGTCCGTCTGGATTTCAGCTCTGGGTTTGCCAAACCAACAGGGGTTACCTGGTTCACTTGAGGTCCAGTTGAAGATAATGGAGGTTGAGGTAGCGAGTTTGTTGATGTCACCTCATTCACTGTGTTCAGTCGAGGGTTTGATGGCACCTAATCCATGTTTATATTTTAGGGTAAATAAATAGGGTAAATATTACTTTATTGGTCCCCTGATATAAATTAATATCAAATGATCAACAACAGACACATAGCACAGATCTGTGCATTCAAATTGCCATAGATAAAATGCAATTGTGTTCGTTGTCCGTAGCTTATGCCTCCCATACCATAAACCCACCAACACCATGGGGCACTCTGTTCACAATGTTGACATCAGAAAACCGATCGCCCACACGACGTGAGGCCGGTTGGACGTATCGTCAAATTCTCTAAAACAATGTTGGAGGTGGCTTATGGTAGATAAATTGTCATTAAATTCTCTGGCAACAGCTCTGGTAGACATTCCTGCAGTCAGCATGCCAAATGCACAATCCTTCAAAACTTGAGAAATCTGTGGCATTGTGTTGTGTGACTAAACTGCACATTTTAGAGTGGCCTTTTATTGTCCCAAGCAAAAGGTGCACCTGTGAAATGATCATGCTGTTTAATCAGCTTCTTGATATGCCACACCTGTCAGGTGGATGGCTAAGGAGAAATGCTCACTAACAGGGATGTAAACAAATTTGTGCCCAAAATCCGAGAGAAATATGTTTTTTGTGCGTATGGAAAATTTCTGGGATCTTGTAATTCAGCTCATGAAACATAGGACCAACACTTTACATGTTGCATTTATATTTTGGTTCAGTATACATTCTAGAATTTACTTTCATAATAACAAAGAACAAATGTGTGTGCCTGAGGGGAAATAAACATGTAATTTGCACTAATGTAAATTAACATAGATGATAGAACCTATTCTCTTTTCCTTACGAGATGAGCGAATCATCACTGGTTCATACACACATAGGACAGGGACATAGAGCCTAGTTAATACAACACTACTATAGACAGAAATAGAATAGAAATGGTGTCTTTGTGACGAGTACTGAGGATACGAAGAGGCAGGACGCAGGAATCAACAATGTAAAGGTTTACTTAACACTGAGCAATAGAACAACAAAGAGTGAGTACACGACAAGACACTAACAATCACACACAACACAACAGTGCAGGGCTATAAAGGGGTGGTGATGAGATGAGGTGCAGGTGTGCTGGAGGTGATTAGGGTGCGTTGGGTTTCCATTCCGGTGTTGCCGAGGTGATGCGCTCATACCGGTGGCTCAGTAGACCGGCGAATCCGAGCGCCGGAGGGGAACAAAGGGAGGAGACGTGACAGTCTTCTTGTAGGCACTTACTCCGCCATGGTTCTTTGGACAAAGCCTACTGGGAAATGAATGGCGTTTCTGTAGGGTTTTTGGATAAACGCCGAAAATAAGATCTGTGGTAAACACAGGCTTAGGAGATCTTATACGTTTTGTTCTATTAGATAAACTTCATCAGCCGATGTCACTTTTCGTGAATTTTGAAGCATTTATGTAATATAAAAAAGCACATAAAGGCTTCATAATTCATAAAGGTCACGTTAACTGACTGATATTATCTCATAGAACAAAACGATCTCCTAAGCCTGTGTTAACCTCAGACCTTATTTACGGCGTTTATCCCAAATCCCTATTCTTTCCCCATAGAAATGGCTGAACGAACCAGAGGTTACTCAAGCTGGCGAGCTCTATACCATGCCTTCTTAACTGCCCGTGGGAAGATTAATTCAGTTGTAATGATTTTAATTAAATATAAAACTTCAGTCTTACAGACAGCATTATGTTAATAAATATTATTTATTAACATTAGTATTATTATTATTATTATTATTATTATAAATGTAGTGTGTAACAAGAGGTATTACAGAGTATTATGGGTTTGATTATGATCATGCTATCTCGTACCTATCCAGCTCTGATTCTGGGTCAGCTCCTGATTTCAGCGCCTCTCACACGCCTTTCACTGCTGTCCAGGTGGCTCTGCATTCCTCCCTACATGAACTGCAGCAGCTCTGACAGGGGTAAGGACATGACGGTCGTGATCATTAGGCACCAAACAGAAGAAAACAGACTTCAACAAGGCGGGACTACATGGACACTTCCCATAACAAAACGCTCATAGTCGTTTTCCTAGGAAAACTTTTTTTTTCATTTCTCAAATGAATACAACCTGGAGGTGGACAGGTCAGAAAGTAGTGTGAACAGCTCTGATGGTGTGACACAATATTGTGCTGTAGTGTTGGGGGTGTACCTGACCGTAGCTCCTATAGCTCTGCATCACTCAGTAGTCCCACACACAGCAGCAAAGCCCGGCTCACATACAGCTGCTGATCCAGAGGGGGTTGACCTAGGCCTGGCACAGCAACCGCAGCACCTGGACATACGCACACACAGTCACACACACAATCAACAACATTGTCATAAATACACATATCATCACAACACTAAAAGACTTGGTTGTACACTCACCTGTATAAGTAGTGGACTCTCCCTGTCCTTAGGAAGAATCCACAAAACATGAGTCTGGGAATGTTGAAGACTTCAGCTATTTCAATGCCAAAAATGATAGATTGAATAGACACTTAGTAGAGAATGAATGACTGACTATCCAGTTCAACATCAGTTTACCATCTCACCTCATACTTGTATTGGAGACGGGCCTTTTTGTTCTTCAACACCAGGTTCCCCATGATCCTGGACCTCTGTCAGGCCTAGAAGAAAAATAACACTTATATTACAAGAGAAAGAGATGGGACAAAGTCGCAGACAGTTTGACACCTTTTTTTATAACCTCTAGCTATCTCCCCTTCCCTTACCTGTTGACAGCCTGCACCAGCCCAGTGAGCACACTGTCCACCCAGCACTCCAGGATGTTCTCCAGCAGCTTCCAGCACACACTCTGCCCCACCATGTCAGAGCGCGTTTAGGAAGAGAAGCGAGGGGCCAGCACCTCAAACATTAACCCTGCAGAAAGAGACACAATCATGTAACTCTTCTGATGAATGGAAAAGTGTTGCAGTTGACAATCATCAATGCTGGAGGAACACATGTTGAATGCAGCCTTGCTTACCACTGTGTCCAAGAACACAAGCCTTCCCCAGTGCATGGGCCACAAAAGTCAGGGAGAAGTCTTTTCCATCTGGTAACAACAAAATATATTGACAGTGACACACAATAACATACATGTTCAGTGTAGACAGTTAAAGTTAAAACAGCCGTAAATAGGCCCTTAATCAGAATGTACTATACTGTATAAAATAATTACTATCTTCTGCATGAACATACAAACCTCTGAGCCTGACAGGTTCTCTCCAGCGCAGTCTAAGGATGTTTCTAGAAGCCAATTAAATACTTAGTCTCCCCAATAATCAAACATGTATAATGGCAAAGTTAAGAGCTTGTCAGTGAAATATAACCAAATTGAATAGATATTACCCCCGTATAAACACGTATCGTTCTTGTATTGTATCTGCCTACGTATCGGATTGTCCTGAAAAAGAAAAATAGCCCCACAGTGGACATACACTATATGACCAAAAGTATGTGGACACCTGCTCGTAAAACATCTCATTCCAAAATC